GACACAATAAGCTTCTAGTAACAAGTGCATCGCTTCTAGGAGCAAGTGCCTTACTAGTAGTAACAAGAAGCTATTAGAAACAATAAGCTTCTAGCAACAAGTGCATCGCTTCTAGGAGCAAGTGCCTTACTACTAGGAACAAGAGGCTCAGTGCCAGTGATCCACACTGGAGTGTTTTCGTGCAATGTTGCTGTTCAATAATCATGTGGACACCCGGATGCATAGAACATGGATTAAGGATCGGGTGGAACTTGGAGAACACGCATATATGTTATATATATATGACTGAACGATTGATATGGAATGACCAGTTGAATGCCCACCCCAACTCCTCGGGTCTTCCAAAGTGTATGCGTGAGGCCACGCGGGCTGCCGTGAGTTCTTGAAATCTATGCTGAATCCATTTGAATCCCTGGTGGCAACTTCTTGTACAGATGCAGAAAGGCTGCTCAACTAGAGCAGACTCAGGTCAAATCAGTTCATATCATAGTGTGTTGGGTCCAGATATGTCCAGATCACCAATAAAAAACAGTGTTCCGTTCCCATGTTGCAACTACTCGGGGTGTACTGTTTGCCGAACTAGGGCAGAACCTCACGACATGTTCTGAACTGCGGCAAACGCCTCCAGGCAAACGCCTCCAAAAGGCGTGCTCTGGAAACTCCGCGGCCACAGGCAGGTTCTTTGCCTTAAACAGTCTGGTAAGATCTGGAAAGTGCTTTTTCTTTTTGGCTTTCGGAATGATATTATAGTGGTACTTGTAGTAACTGCCCCGGCAACCTCCCGACAGACGAATTACCAATGCCATGAAAAGATATGAACCAAGCAATTATGGTGGGACCGGTTCTTTCATGTTTTTCACTGTTGTTGGTAAAACTGAAGATTCTGGCTGTCTTTTGCAAGCAACATATTTTGCCTCCCGAGTCAGTGGCAAGCCTTGAACCCTGTTGGATGGTGTCGCTATGAATCGACGATATCGATGGCAAAGCGACGAACAAAGGGATGTCAACGTGTCACTTCGATCTCATCCCCTGTTCAAGCTCACCGTTTACCAGTGAAAACACGTGAAAACCTTTTGTCCATGAAATCTACCTTTGGAAGGTGACAGACACCCAGATTGCTGAGGGACTGCTTCGGACCCAAAACTTTCACCGGACCAGTGTCGTTCCGGTTTGCCGACCCAACACATGAGAACCACCGAATTTAGTGGCTTCTAGACTTTTTGGCAATGATCCAAGGTCTTTTGGGGGGTTCAATGGTTTGTTTCTTCTTGCGCCTTGGTTCAATGGCCAATGGCGGGCAGATGGTGCAGGCCGGATGGTCCAAGACATGTTGCTCCACACGGACTTTGTCTCTGTGGCCGGATATTGGTTGATGCTGGATTGGCAGGAGCTGATGCTGTGGCCAAGACATTCCAAGTCTTTCAAGGGAGTCAACACACCGCAAGAGTCATCGCGTTCTTTGTTCATCGACATACGTTTTCTTTTTGCGTTGCGAGGATGCAGTATATATCCAATGCACCAGTTGCTCAGTCTATTGAAAAGCCCAACGACCTGGCGACCAGGATACAAATCCTGAGAATCGCTTTCTCCACGTGCGCTTGACGGCCATCATGTGCAGCGTGGGGGGCCCTTCACTGTGATGACGAGGGCAAGCTGGGTTTTGTTATGATCTTTGTCATAGGGCAAAGGTGACCTGGTCACCTTTGCTTATACAGTGGCGTGTGCTATACTGCCCCGCCATTCTTTGGATGTGCAGTCTTCAAGAACATCGAGACCTTCTTTTCTGAGCGATAGTGGACAGGATACTTACTTTAAGATACGTTTAAGATACTTTAACTATGTGTATGTACTTAATGTTCTACACGGTCATGGTTTCTTCCACTTGTTTCTTGTTGACCGCTACGGTGCCAAAAAAGGCAACGGCACACGTAACCTGTGATAACACGCATCTCGACGCAAAGAGGTTGAGGGGGTATAGGGAGCATATCCATCACTACTGAAGTATGGAAGATTTGGCAAAATTGGAAGTATAGTATCACTATAGTAGTATCTATCACTTGGAAGTGAGGTTATAGTATAGTGATAGATATTTGGAAGTTACATACGTAGTATCACTATACTGACTATACTACTGCGTATGTCTATTTCTAGGATGCATATGTCTATTTACGCCCAGAGAGTGTCCCTTGTCTAATGCCTTTACAACCAGATAGTCCGTAGAGCAACCAAACTTCACACAACGAAAGTCCAATACCTCTTGAATTTGCTTGATACATGTATTAATTGTCTTATTTGTGCTGCTGTCGTTCACAACGACTTAGGTTGCTACAGCCTTTTGCCGCCAAAATCCCAAGAACCAAGGCTGGCCTGGCTGAAAAGGAAACTCGTAGAACGGACTCACTGGACTGACGAGGAGCAAGGTCTTAAGGCCACAAGGACCTGCTATGCTGTTTTTGGGTGATTCCTACACCTGGAGTCATCATGGGCCAACGTGGATGGCAGGGCCCCGATTTTGGATGACAATTTTCCTTTGCGAACAGGTAGTGAACTCCACTTCCATTATTCTTCCAGAAAGTGTACCCCTTCTATCAATATCCAAGGAGGACCCGGGTTGTGATTGCCCAGTGGTTGCCCAGTTGTCGTTTCCTTGGTTTGTTCAGAGTCAGTTGGCCCATGTGACCGGGCATGGCTGGAATAGGTGATGCCCTATTTACTATCATGACCCCTATTGTCTCCTATTGATCTTTATGACTCAGGCCAACGCCGGCCAACGGTGAATCGATCATGGATTTGTTATAATTTGTTAAACCTTATCTACCCCAAAAGTGAGTGATTTGGTGCATATGTTTTTGGCCTCCAAGTCTGGTCCTATGAATCTGTGAATGCTACAATTCACCCTTTCACTGTATTCCCCCATGGATGACTGCAGTTTCCTTGGAGAGTTCATCATGGCAGCCCTCCAAATGTAGAGAAGCTTCAGACAGCTGCCCAGAATCTTGTCAGTTTGATGATCGCATAGTTCCGACGCCTATACGCACAGGACGTCACAATGCCGTTGTGCGGTCACCTCAGTGTTATCATGGTTTTGGGGACCAGCACAACCCAAAGGATGGCTATTGGATGGAGAACACAGGATAGCGGCTGTCTACCATTGTTTTGGGTGGTGCAGCCGAATGCTGGAGGATTCAACCGGACAGACCGGCTGCTTCTGCGGAGGCGTTTTCATGGACTTCCTTCCGGGCTTGTCACGGATCCTCGACGAGGAACGACGCCAGTCGTGCGGATCTGACGTCCTTAGGGTTTATAGGGTTCAAAGGGCTAATAGCTTCTTGTTACTACTAGTAAGGCACCTGTTACTACTAGCGTGGCACTTGTTACTACTAGCTTCCTACCCCTTGTGTATTGAAACCCTAAGGTCCAAAGCCAGAGAGGTGGTCTCCTGGAGAAAGTTGTGAGTTTGGGGCCCACGGTCTTTGAAGATTTCATGGCGAACGCTCGTGTCGCGTTTGGCTGGTTGTACCCGTGCCTTTTCCTCCTTCGACCGGATACGGCCTTTCTCTCACAAAGCTCCGAATGCTGAAATGTTGTGACCGAAAAGGCACGGTGCCTGCATTGTTTCATTAGTAACAAGTGCCACGCTAGTAGTATCAGTGCCTTACTAGTAGTAACAAGTACCCGGAGCCTGCTTTTAGACGTCATTTTACACCGTCAAGATGGGCCTCATAGGGCTTCACCCGGTGGGATTCCGGCAGGAAGAGCACCCCAACGGCGCCGTTGAAATGGTGCGGCCTGGTGTTCACTTCTAATTGCGGACGCCCAACCTGTTGGGGTGAGCGAGAGCAGGACCCCTTTCCGGAATGCATCCTCTTGATCGCCGAGATCTTCCGATCGGCTGCCCCAGGGGTGGCGTTCTGGAGAGTGGGTGACGAGACAAACTCTCCCAACCACTTGGCGTTGTTTTTGCCTGTAGTCACCCCGGAGAATTTATGTTTGGCATATATATATATATACCTTTATAATATTTTATAATTACATGTTACATGTTGTGGTTGTAGAGGTTAATAATGGCAGTGTTTGGATGATTGGTTTCTGTGATTGGCTCTCGCGAACTCCAGGCATATCACGGATCACTTTCCCCAACGGTCTTCGAACCTGGAGGGACTGCCATCTTGGACCGGAGGGGGTTCCTTCCCATTGAAAGCTGATGGGCTCGGCGCTATGGGCTCAAGCCGATCAGGATTGCATCTTAGATCTGAATCTTACCCATTTGATCTTACCATTTGCCCCACATGAGCGCGCTACGCCTTTGCCTTCTCGCTGCCCTCACCGGGCTGTGTCAGGCAAGGCAGCCTCTATCACGCACAATATGTGTAATCATGTGTAAACAGTGTCAACAACTGGATGAAATTGGATCTTCGTCACTCAACGGGTGTTCTTCTCGTTCATTTTCACCTGACAGGGCATCAAACAGGCTAAACTGCTGCCAGGTGCTGGTGCAATCGGAGGATGCGTCATGCGAGGCAGCCAGCAAAGGGAACAGCGCAGCGCTACTCCAAGCAGCTGCCAACCGGACAGAGGTAGAGCAGGTTGTAGAACAGGGAGACGATATTCAGGAGCGATGGATCAATGAGCCAGTGCTTTTACCGCCCGAATCAACCCGTGACGTGATGTCATGTCCGTGATTATTGTCCATATATATATAATATTAGTTTTGTGATCATTTGTTCATGGCTGTTTTCTCTAAGACGCTTTTCGCACCGACACAAACATTGCTTTTGCAAGCATGTTAAGGTTTGAATCAGTCCAATTTGTACTCCCTAAACGATGAACTTCCATGAACTTTGCTACCGAAAAGGGTCCTGTCCAGATTTCCTCAAAGGCTAAGAAGTTCCCAATCGATCTGGTGATTTGGTCAACTGTCAGTGCTTAACCCAGAAAGACAGTGAAAAACTATACGACCAGGAAACAGATTGTAAATCACATTAAATGACTGTGTATAAAACAGCCTATCTCCAAGCTTCCAAGTTGTCCCAATCGACATTCACAGGACGATGAGGACGAGCTCTCCGACTCCCTCCTGGAGCGTTCGCACTCCGGTGGAGCGCACCGAGTTGAGTCGATGGATTTGGAGGACTCGGTGGTCGCGAAGGGCTCGCGCCGCCGCCGCAGCCGCCGCCGCACCACCACCACGACCACCACCGTGGATTGTGGCGATGCAACGGAGTATGTGTCCATCTCCTGGCTGACGTCAGGTACTGTGCGAGGGACAGAGATACAAAGATGTCTATAGAGGGCGCAGTGCTGAAAGGATCGAATTATCGTATTATGGTCATCCAATCTGGCAATAGTGAGCAGTCACTGAAATCTCTTTGTTTGGTTGCTGTGAACATTTCTGAAAGGGTCATTCTTTTGTGAATCTGCGGATCTTATTTTTCCTCCCATCGTGTTTGCGAGAATCATCCGGAGAACATCAAACTTTGAGAATTATATATATATATATACTTTGAGCGGTTTTTCTGTTTGGAGGTGGCATGTGCTTGGAGGGCGTGAACAGTGGCGGGGCACAAACCATCGACTCAGCTTCTTGCTCCTCCATCAACAACGGCCGTGATCGGTTTTACTTCGAGGATAACGGGGATGGCTACTGTACACTGAAGGCAAGGACGATAGTGAAAGAAGTGCTGAGTTACTGGGGATCATTTTTGGTACACTAGCTTTGTCAAGTTCAGATCCAATTTAATTTGTCATCAACAAAATGTTTGACATGATGCTCAGTTGACACGTCATGCCTGTGAGGCAGATTTCGCCACTCGCCGCCGAAGCGCCAAAGGCAAGACTGTGACTTGTGGCACCAACAACCAGGCGCCGGCTTATTGCAAGCAACATGGATCCCAGAGCAACCTGGATAATCACATTAACAAGAAGCAATTTGTGTCCTGCATGTGTTTAAACATCCCCGTTGATACCGGCTATCTAAAATGAGTGTGGTCGACCACGGAAAAGACCCATATGTTGTTGACTAATTTTAGTTTAAGGCTTAATTCGAAATGGGTCTTTAAAAAATGATTGGCAGCAACAGATTTGCAAACTTGTCAAACTAGCCAGTTGTTTTAGATAACATTGTGAACAAGTTGTTTCAATTACGTGTTCACTTATCAGTGACTTGTGCAGACCTTTGGTGTGTGAAAGTCCGTTGGTTTTCTGTAGCCAATTTCTGGATATAATAATCAGGGGGTGAACTTCTATTAAAGCACATATCACATACCCACATGTCAAGACTCTCCGATTCTGGCCATTCTGGCACTTGAAAAGACGATGGACAATGCCACAAAAATCCCAGCTGTCACACGTTTTCATGCGTACCCATGGATTGCTTGGATTGTGCGCTTGGATGGTTGTGCATTCCTGAGGTTACAACAAGTTGAAGTTGGAAGATTTGGGGAGCAACAAGTACTCCATCTGGTGGTACGACAGCAATGGCAACGAGAAGATGGCCAAGAGAGATACCTTTGGGATGATGATTGAGGACTACAACAGTCAGGATACAGCGGATTTCAAGGTCTACAAGAATGCCATCTTCAGCAGCACATGCGTGCTCAGCAAGGATGATCTTGAACTCTCTTGTTGGAAGTGAAGCGGTCTTGGACCGTTTTATTTTCAGTATTATGGCCTGTCCTTTGCCTCTCTTCCTAGGAAGTGAGCGAGCCCTAGACTCTAGACCGCTTGAACGGCATTTGAAATCTTGGGTTTTCCGGGTCTGGTATGAGATCCGCTACAGTTCTCCCAGCATCTTCATCGTGCGCGCTCTCTTCCAAAATAGCAAGCCTATGAGACGACATGGCCTGCCTAACCCCAGTGAGTATAACGGCGTTTCTTGTGATTTTTGGAGATTCTTATGGAGATGGCTTCTAGTCACTTCATGGACCAGATTCTCCGCAACATGTGTATATATCTATATGCTACCCCCAAAAAATGTCTACCTTTTTGGTTTGCTTGCACGGTTTTATTTGATGTTGCCTTGTAGCTGGGAGCGTTTAATTCTATTTTGAATACCAATGTAATTGCGTTTAAATATAGATTAATATTAATTTGATTCTAGTTAAATGCAACGTTATTTCTAATTCAATGCAATATCGTTCAATTATGACTTTATTCTAGAGAGAGGGTTTTGCTGAGGGTTGTGATTTTAAGAAAACAACCTTTGAAAACGCAACACATTCTTTTTTGATTTCACAACCAAAAAACACAATGAAAACAAACAACACATTGTTTGAGGCGTTGTGTTTTTTGTGTTTTTTGTTTTTGGGGTTGTTTGGTTTTGTCATTTTGTTGCTTTTTGCTATTGGTGGTATTTGTTTTATGTGTGTCCTTTCATTTGTTTTTGCTTTTTGAATTGGTAAGTGCCTTGTTTTGTTAGATGTTTTATACCAAACAATTTCATAAAACACTTTTTTTTTGAGGGAGGGGGTTCCAGGACCAATGGGAAGGATACCACAACAAGTCCGTTCGTGTACATGGTACCGAATGGGATGTTTGATAATCTGATATACCGCATGTGGAGCCATGCGCCGGCTTGGGACCTTGCCTTGATACTCACGACCCAACATTTGGCCAACATTGCCGTCAACAGAAACAATCTTTAAACCAGTGGAAGAACCTGCAAAACCGTAGCAGTCGAAGATGTCAATGCAGCAGGCCGTTGCTTGATTCGCGGTGTTTTTTTGAATATTGTAGCAACTTGCGCGACTTGCGGGCAGTCCATGCCACAGCCCGGTTCAGGGCATGCCTGGTCATGCGTCAACTCCGCCGAGGCGGAAACCTGCAGAATTGCCAGCTGGTACCAGAGGCCAGGCCTTGCCGTGAGGATTTTTCACTGCATTGGATTAAATGAGACCAACCGGAACTCGGAGCACGTGCATTTTTCCGTTTTGTTATTCTATATCTTCCATTCTTGACTTGGGTGATTGACCTTTGATGAGTTAGAAGTATTTTGAAGCCTGAAATGCCGCTCCTTTGGAAATTCCACCGACTCGTGTCCCTTCAACGCGAGGCCTTGGTGGAGTGCTTTGGTAACATGCTAGCAGCAACCTTAGCGCGGAGCAGCGGATGTCGCAACTGTCGCGGTCAGAAGAGACGCATAGGGTTTCCCCAGCCGATTGATGTGTTTCAGATGGACAATGGGTGTGGAGCAAGCTTTGCACACCCAACACGAGGGCCCCAAATGGGACCATGGAGCTGTTGTCGGTGGAATTGCGTTAAGTATTTTGAGGCCTTCCTTAAACCTCCAAATAGGGGGCATCATATGTGATATGATGAACTTGGTGCCTCGCATCAAGTGGATGCCAGATCAGGTGATATCACGAGATCAGCAGGACTCCACAGGGGGGGAATAACCTCCGGTCGATTGGGTCGCTCCAGTCGAAGACGCTGGCCTGATTTGCCACCCAGGGCTGGAACCCGCCAGTGAGGCACCATAAAAGAACGCTTGATGATCTTGATGTATCTTGATGTTGTTGACTTGTGGCCTTTTTGATGCTGCGGTCAACACTCTTCTCCCGAGTGCCTTTGACACTGGAAGATATACAATAGAAAACACACTGTTTCCAATGGACAATGAAGTCCTCGCAGCGTTCTTCGCCGGGCGAGGTGCGGAGCAAGCGTGCAGGGCACTTCGTGCGCGGAACCTTTGGGGGATTCGCGCGGTGTTGGCCGTTGCGCGGTGTTGGCGTTGGTAAAAGGACCAAATATGGCGATAGAGGAGTGAAAGAGGAGTGAAAGAGGGCCGAAGGAATATGTTATATAGGATGTAACTACCTATTTTTTTGGTCGAGGCGCTTGTGGACCTGCTGGACCGGACTGACCGGGGACCCGACACCTGCCCCCCCCCCACAGGCCTTGTGAGAATAGGTGTTTTCCAGGCTACACAAGGCCTTGGTGGCGTACAGAGGGCCACACATCAAGGCCTTGGCACATCTCCTTCCTCAGCAGCATCGTGTCAGTGGGGGGCCTTCAGCCAGCCAACGTTCGACCAGTGAACCGTTGGAGTCCGTCCAAGGGACACAACGAGCAAAGGGACACACACTCAACCGAGCAAGTAGGACCTCAAATTGACTTCTGGTGTTTTCAAACCAATTGTGCTGCACATGTTCTATTCTTCAGTCTTGAAGTATATTATACTCTTGAAAAAGAGAACTGGATCAGTAGTGCTCCGATGTTCACAAAGAAGGCCTTGTTGGAGGAATCAGGCCCCTTGGGATGTTGGGTCAGAATGGATACCAATTTGATCCATAGAATATCGTGATAAGATCATAGAATCAAAATTGGATCCTATGGTTATCATTATTCTGGTGGCCTCGGACCATTCCTGGTGGAAGTTGTTTTTGTTTGTCCTCTACCAAAGCTACCAAAGCCTCTTTCCGGGCCATCCAGGACTGTTCACTCAGTGCGCTTCGCCTTTGTAAGAACAGGACATGAAGAAATTGGCGAAGCAGGGCTCCAGTGTACGTTTCCCTATGCAGCCAGCCTTGCAAAGCTGTGGCTCAAAGAGACGGAGAAAGAGTTACGTTTGACGTTTGCTTTTGAGCTTTGGGTCTTTGTCAATATGGGCCAGGCCTGGAACGGCAGGGGGCAGGGCGTGGAACTGAGCAAAGGACTGACCTGTATGGTTCTATGCCTCAAGGACTGACCTTTTGGGGAGAGCTCTTGGTGGTTAAGCATAAGTTGATTATTTGTTTATTGTATGTATTTGGTTCAGCAACACTTGGAGCCGTCAATTTTCGTGCGTGCAGCTCGACAAAAGCCAGGACCAGCTGTGTTTTTTCCGGGTGTGAAAGGGCAGTAACAGATTTTGAAGACAGACCCACGAAGAGCTTGCTCCTAATGTACCCTTCAAGTTTAATAGGAAAGAAAGGAACATCAAGCTCCTACAATATTGAACAGCAGAAGCTGCCCAGGTAGTTGCCTGCTAGAAAGCCACCTGGACGGGCAACGGATGTTCGTAAAAGCATATAAAAAGAGGCCAGGTATGTGAGTACTGTACATGGGTGTGTTCAAAGTCGCTCAAACAGTGACTTGCTGAAAGTATCATGAAATGCTACTCTCAAGCTGGCTGCATGTACAGGATAGTTGCAAACAAAACTGATATGGTCATATGGTTGAGGAATTTACAAGTTTCTTACATTGAGCCCAGTCCGTGTTTTTTAACCTGCAGGTTCCATGCAGGTGGAGCATACGCCTTCCAAGATTATATAGTCCATCCAGGTCCATCCTCGATTCACTTTGCTTGGTGTGATTTGAACCCTTGATTTGCACAACGGTTCATTAAGACTGGATCCTCATTCACCTCCTGGCACCATCAAACAGGGTATCGACTCTACACATCCTGCTCAGTCCTCAGTCCATCTCCGTCCACCCTTCGATCCGAGACGCCGACGCGACAGGTCATCTCCGAGACGTGCTGCACCTTGGCAGCCTAGTGGAAGAGCGGAGCGGCCGAGTGGTCAGCGGCCGGGGCCGGACTGGGGTAAGTAAGTATAGGACCACTCCCAACTTCTACAAGCCGAAGTTTTAGTGACATGGAAAGTATAGGACACTTCTTGGTGATTTCCAATGTCAACAAACAGACGTTTTAGCACTGGGATGTCCATTTGCATGCTGTACTCAGGCGCCCGCGCCGGCGCCCAACGGCTCTAGGCTCTCAAGCGCTTCCTTGGTCCGATTCCCTGGCGTTTCTACATGGTTCTACCCATTTGGGGCTTTATCATACAATGTTCAAAGCCCTACTCATTGAGCCGAGGCTGAAGAGGAGAAGGTACTGTGGGGTCCAAAACATGCATTTTTCCGGTGAACATGTGGACAACCAGGGATGAACCGAACATGGGGGGGAACCGTGTGTCACCTGCATGACATGCGCCTGGCTGAGCATGAAACTATATGGAAATCATTACTGAAATCGGCCGCTTGTTGCGAGTTACTTGGCCATCCGCCACATCCACCACACCAATCTCCGACTCGTAGCAATGGGTTGCGTTGGCCCCGCGTTTGTTCTCGCCTGTCGCTCGTATTTGTCTCCCTCTAAGGTGGTGGTGAGACAGGACGGCAGGGGCATGGACCCAATGGAGGGCAAGGATCATGCAACATCATGCAACTAGAGAGCTGTCCGGGGGTGGAAGGAATTGGATGGAATGACATGTGTCTTCCCTTTTGTCACGGACCCGGTGAATAGACTATAACAAACTCAACCCTTTCCCAGACAAGAACCGAGACCCAACTGAAAGGAGACATGTGTTCAAGGGGAAAGGACATGAAAGGGAGATGAATGGAGATTAAGCTGGAATCAAAGGCAAGTGACACACACCGATGTTAGGATAAGTTAGGGTTGTTGAATGGGAAGATTGCTACCTAAGAGGGACAATTTGCAGACAATGTGCATTTGTTGCGGCAGGTGTTCTGGGTCATTTCATGTGACTGTTAGTTTGGTAGGATCTTGGAATCCTACCTTGACATGAATTTCTGGAGTCCCCGCAAGCAGCCTGAGAAATAGACATCACCAAACAAACATGGAAGCATAACAAAAACGCTCTTTGGAAAGGAGTTCTTCCAAGTGACCATGTTCCACCTTCATGCCCCACCCGACCTAACTTGAACGTGTCGTGAGGTGGTCATTGATCGTGCGTTCCTTGCATCCCAACGGTCCCCCACGGACCTCAGGAGCTGACAGCACTGGAGATGTGGTTCCCGGTTTGACCGGAGGCACCGGGCACCGGCTCAGATGGCCGGAGAGAAGCGGGGGACGCGCTCTGCGGAATAGAGCGAAGCTTCCAAGCAGACCAGTCTATCCAACAAAAGGTATGAGTGCAAATAGAGTTTATATGGGGGCTCCTGATTTATAAGCCTCTCATTTGGACCGAACAACCGGATTGGACAACCTGGAGGGTTAGAGTCAATAGAGTTAGTAGAGACACCCTCCCTCAAAATGCCATGGTGGGTGCTTTGCTGAACCCACTTGGAGAAGACGGCACAACAACAGAAAAGGTTGACGCTTTATATAGTCAGTGAAGCCTTTTTTTGACACCGATGTAAATCTCATGAGTTTGTTTCATGTTTTTGTCCAGCTTTTTTTGGGGGGGCGTTGAAGGTCAACGGTCTGACCGGGCGGAGACTCTTTGTCCGGCTGACACAACGGCGTCATCCCGTTCCGCTCGCTTGATCAACCCGACGGAAGTTGCTCAACGGCATAGCGTTTTTTCGGGGTTTCGTCGTCAGTGACAGGCCGGACGAAAGTGGAGAAAGATAGCCTTCCAAGGGGCCATAAGCCCCACGTCCATGTTTTTTGAAGGAGGAGTCCTCTCATGCTAGCCATGGCATCAACAGTCAGTAGAAGATGCAAGATTGCGTGTATTGTTTTGGAATACAGGCCGCGCAGACCTTTGCCCACCATCATCAACTCTTGATGCAGCCTGCCCAATGTATGCTCCTATAGCCTATAGTTGTTGAGCTTTGCAACTTTGAAATCGCCTCGTCGTTGACGCCGTGAGACGAAGGCGTCACCATCTCTCCGCAAGCAGTGAAGAGCCTGAAGGAGATGAGAAGACGCATGAGCACACTTGGAAATTTCAATTATCCCAGCTACGGACAGGGAGAAGCAGGATTAGTAAGTTGAATTCTTTTCGGACCTCTCCAGCTTTCGATGGTTTGTTCTCCAAGATCAGCGATGTTCTCCGTAACACCTGGAAAAACATTAATTAACCTACATGGACCCCTGACAGCACCCCAAAAGTGATTGGCCAATCTTCCACAGACTGGAATTCAGACTGGATTTTCGGTTCAGATGCGATAAGCATTCTTCCGCAGCGCAGGAGTGTTTTCCGCTGTGTTTTGCCCAGGACATGGGTTTTCAGGAGGTGGCCGCACGCAACGCCTTGGAAGCCTGCAACGGCCCGGGACTTGCGCTCGAGGGCGCGGCGGTGCAGCGAGGGCACGGCGGTGACGTGTGGCATGAGTTGGCCTTTCGATGTCGGAGCTGGGAGCTGGTGGGACCCTATAGTCTTTGGGGGAGTCTAGAGTCTAAATTGCAACTATCAGTCAGCAGAATTCTTTTTGCCAAGACCCTTTGCGGTTCATCTTGGTTAGACACACAGTGATACAGTGATACCGGTTCTTCTTTAATTTTCAGCCGAATGCCGTTGGTCGGGCTACCGAATTCACGCTTCACCATCCGTCCGATCGGGCGTCCGAGGCAACTTGGATCAGGCCACACAGTTGTTGTTGTCGCGGGGGCGCCCGGGAGACCCGCGAATGAACGGAACTGGTGGAGGGACCGTCCGGTTGGACCGTTCGGATGTTGGACTGGGGTGGGTTGTGACTCGGTAGACCTTTGATGAATGAATCCCCCAAAAGAGGCTTTGCATAGTAATGTTGAATGTTGCAACGTTTTGACCATCCTGAAGAGAAGGGGTGGGCTATTCATGATCAAAAGGCTATTCATGATCAAAAGAAACCTGCTAGAGTCAACCAGACAAAAATCATCAACACCAATCAAACAATAGCAGTTCTGTTCATTAAAACGAACATCGCTCAATAACACCAATCAGCAACCTCAATTAAACACTATATTCAATGCGATCATAAATCATTGAACAACGCCATGTTTTGTCTTCCCATTGGTCAGGCCCGACCCCAGCGCCCGAGGTCGATTCCTGAGAGTGAGCCTGTGGCCATCCCAGAGCCCGTGTCGCCCCCCATGGCCGAGCAGCCCGCAGAGTCGCTTGGTGCAGCCCGCAGCGATCGATCTTTGTGACCGAAGGAAACACATACACCCGCGAAGAGACTCACATGGAACCTGATGGCATGGACCTTTGGAAGACTATTTTCCTCCACAACCCAGTGGTTTTCAGGTGCCATGTTAAATTTCCAGTGTGTAATCAAAGACCGCTCTGCCCTCCAACCTAGTTGTTGCCATGGCCTCCAACCTAACAGTTTGTTGACCCTCCAACGACT